GTTTGGGCTCATTTTTGAAAAATGAAAAAAAACCTAATGAAAGTAGCAGTAGGTCCTGTAGCCTCCACCCTTAGGGTCTCCACCAACTTTCATTAAAATTTGCACCCTTGCCCTGAATGCATTACACACACCATGAGAAACAGCAGCAGGTGGTTCCTACCATACTGGTTAGGGGGAAATAGAAATGCCCGCCACATATTTGTAAAAACATTTTGAAAAACATGAGGGTGTTCCTTCACATTTCCTGTTATGTCCTATTTTGTGTGGTTCTACCTCCGAAAGTCCCAAAAATGTCATGAAAGTTTCAGGTTGAGAAGTGATGGAGAGTAAAGTTCACACTTTTACCAGGTACCGTACTCTGTAGGTTCTATTTAAGCCAGTCTGATTTCAGACTTGTTATTCTGTTGGAATCAAACTGCACAATAGGTTTCCTGCATGAAGATACTGTTGTGCATTTTAATATTTGTTGTTAACTAATTCACATATAGGAAACAATAAAAAAAAAAAAGCTAAAATGTACTGAAGGGAAACTACAAGCTCAGCAAACACACTCCTACATCCTCTGAACGAATAAAGACTTAGAACCTAAGGAGGATCGGTCTGGAAAAAGCAGACGAGACTTCTCATGTGGAGAAAATATTGATCCAACAGTGAAAAAGTTGTCAGGGGTCATGTTTAAGTTGAAGCCAACTATCGGATTCTTTAGCATCAACCGGGGTCAATGTTCTTCAGTTACAATGATGAAATCCTCTGAGAGCTTTCAGGTTACCAACCTCTGGGTGATTTTCCTCCATGCAGAACAAAAACTCCTCCAGCTTCTGCAACAAAATAGGAAAACATTTATTAGGAGGTCATTTGGCCTTAAACCCACTCATAAATTATTAAAACTCCAATTATCCCGACTGAGGGCTGCATGTGTGCAGCATCATCATATTGTGAAGAGGTCGTGATAATTTATCCCCAACTCAGGCATAATAAAAAATGAATATTTGTATTATCTTTGCTGCAGGTTTTCATTGTTTGTTTTTAAGATATGTAATCGCACATTCCTCACTAAGGAGAGAAGTAATTACTGTTCCCTCTTCTAGGCTGGCGTATTGTTTATGGCTTAAGGGTAAGTTCATAAGATGGCAGAGAGGCAGCAAATAATAATCAGTGGTTTTAATTAAAAACGGTGGCCATAATCGTTTTTTTTTTTCCCCCTCTCAGGTAAACACAGCAGACCAGCAATAGGAGTTCATTCAGAAAATTATTATTTTGAGCACCGCAGGGAAACGGCGTCTGAGAGATGAATGTATATAAAATGTAAGAACAACCACGAGGTTAACGATAGACGAGTAGATGATAAGATCTACAGAACCAACTTAAAAAATAGATATAAAGCATTTATAACAACGCCACTATAAAAAAAGTAATTAATGTACTTAAAAGTAAATATTTTTGCAAAAGAAACACATACTCCTCATTGTAATACCTCTATTTATCCTATTTTGGGGGGGAAAGGAAGGATGCAAATAAAGGGGTGCCAATAAAAATAGAGTATTGTAGAACATAGGAGCCACAAAATTAACCCGTTTGCAAGTTCTGAGACATCATCCTACAAGTTTTCTATCTCACAAAATGAAGAAAAGAAAGTACACTAGAAGAAACTATCTAGAAATAAGTAAAAAAAAATTAAATCAAGCATATTTACCCTTAATTTGAGAAGGTAAATAAGATTGTTTGCATATGGAATTAATATTTTGGCTATTAAAAAAAGATAATTAGATTATATGTACTGAAAATAAGATAGTGCAATTGTTTTTTTTATAATTTTAAATGTAAATTATCTTGTTCTATTGGCAAAGTGTCTCACTTACCTCCTCAATTAAGGAACAAATGCTCTTATTTTAAAAAAAAATCAACTTATTTAGATTTACATTTTTTTTGCAGCGTACCAGAGGAACAAAAAAAGAAATGGTTGGCCGTCTCACCTCTTAGCTGTTGGAGACATGTTAGCAGGGGGCGAAGAGCTTTTAGAAGAAAAGAAATAGAGAAACAAACCAGGAGAAGAAAATGATTGCATGCAGTTTGTGAATGCAGCAAAGGTAGGAGACAGGGGAAGGTTAATGTCTATGCAGAGGGTTTAATAATGCATGAATGTAGCAGGTGTGAGAAAAAGTTAGAAGGATTTAAGAATGCAAGAGTTTAAACACAGTTTAACACATGCAAGGGAACACAATGCCAATGGGCCTAGAAAAGATCACGTCAAGAACACATCAGTTATATTAGATGTCTGAATGAAACATTTAAAGGAAAAACCTTTGGTGAAAACACAATCCCCGTAATCTAAAATAGCCAAAGCTCGCCTTCCAAAAATGTGTCAGTGCTACTTTTTTTTTTTACACTCCTGGCTTTGTTGGCTTTGTTTCTGTCTCAGATGAATCTATCAGGCTGTGTGGGCGGTGGAAAGCAAGAGAGGAGGAGAATGAGTCTGATTCGCCCCTCAGGCGGCAGACCTTCCCTGGCAGTCAGGTTAGACCAGTATAATAAGAACTCATGCAGGCATGCATGCATTAACACTAAACAAATATATAAACATGCAGAAAATAACTGAAGTTTCCATTCAACCCAGAGCAATTCTTTGATGGTATTCTTAAAATGCTGGAGTCCATCACACTCACTTTTCTGCTGTTCAGATATGCCTCCAAGCTATCAGGCTAATAAGCTGCTGCTTGACTCACTTTGGTCGGCAGATTTTAAAGTCTCACAGCAAGGGGAACCGAAAACGTCCTCTCTATTAAAGTGGCAAAGCTGACAAAGCAGGTAGACTTTATTTGAGGCCACACTTCACACCACATTACACGTAATGCATGTTTGATCTCTTAGTGGCAGGCAGGGGTTAGATTACCTCAGTATTTAAAAGCCATAGAGGAGGAATCTTATATATTCAGGAAACTTTAAACATCTTAAAGGCACTTATGTAAATAACACATTTCATGCTGTTTAGAATGCATTCACTGTTACCTTTGTGAACTCTGAGTTCTGTAGGTTGGCCTCAGGACACCAACGACCTCCTAAAGCAGTAAGCATTGCACAATCTTCTTCTTCTTCCTCTTTGTTGCTAGGCTCGGTTGAGGCAAAAACTGTTGCAGCAGGGATGTCGTCCATGTTTGCTGCACCGCAGCTGGATGTTCGCAATTGCAGACCTCGCAGAAACAGGTGACAAGCTTCCAGGTCAGCTTCCCAGATACGCTCCAACCCAGGACAGTCACAGCTGGAGAAAAGATAGAGAGAGAATACTTTTAGAACAAAAGCAGCAATGGATTTTTTTTTTTTTTTTTTTGGACAGTTATGTCTTTACTTATCATTTTGATCCAACGTTTGTTCATTGACTGCTGGACAAACCGATAGAAATGTCCAGATAGTTCTTTATTACCAATACGATACAAATATGGCAGCTTAGAGAACTGACTGATACTGATATTGGTCCAATACAATGTCAGCAGGAATCATAAATGCTTTCATTACTTATTTTCTACTGTAGAGAATTAGAAAATGCTTGATGAATTGGTATTACTAAATGAGAGAACAATAGCCTGACGATATTAGAGATTTTAAATGCAGGCAGATATAATCAGACATTATTTTTTTGACAAATTTTGGTCCAATATTTGATATTAATATCAAATTAGGAAATTCCTTAAAACCAACACAATATTGATACAAATGTACAGTTTTGGGAGTTCTAAAACTGTTGTTTGACATTTTGCTGAAATTAATATGTTTTAAACTTGACATTTTTCTATATATTTTGGTTTCTTAAAAGGAAATGTACCAAAACACAAATGGGCCTATAGACTGGTAGGAAGTCACTCCAACCCCAACCAATTCCTAGTGCTAAATACCATGCATTTAGTCCAATAAACAGCACTAAGTGCTGTATATTGGACTGAATAGTATATCTCAAAATAAGCTAACATTTGGGTCAAAACTTATGCAGGGTTGCTTCAAACAAATCTACATAAAGGCCTTCTCCTACTTTGTGTCCTCATCTGTATAGCATTGACCTATAAAGGAGAATCATTGCAAACATTTACTTTGTCCAACTTTAAGTTCTGATCTTTTGTTTGATTTTAAATGCAACATCACATCTATTTTATGCTGAAAGAAGTGTGGAAGTGTGGAAGTGTAAATGATTGGATGGTATTCTGCCTGAAGTCAATGGAGTAATCATCCATTGTTCTTCGATAATCCAGTTAACAAGGCAGAGTTTGGAAGTTGTCAAGAAACAGCATGAGACCGACTGCTCTGAGTTAAGGTTACAGTTTGTGGTGAAGACGATTATGGTGTGGGATTGTTGTTCAGGAGCTTGGCTTGGTTTCCTAGTTCAAGTAAAATTAACTCCCAATGTTACAGCAAACCAAGATAACTTTGACAATTTGATGACTAGAACAATGAAGGAACAGTGTGCCAATACTTCACCATAACTGCACACAAGCCTACAAAGCACAAGGTCCCCAAAGACATGGATAAGCCAGTTTAGTGTGGAAGAACATGATTGGCCTGCCCTAAGTCCTTGACTCAACACAATAAAAGACATTTTGGACAAATTAGAGAGAGGACTATGAGCAAGACCTTCTCACAGAACATTGGTTTCTAATGCCTGTCTAGATTAACATTTAGGGATTCACACTTCAAACTCTGGATGTGGAAAATCTGTCAAGGTTCTGCCCTTTGTTGAGGTTTATTTTTAGTTTCTCTGTAATTTTGAGTCATCGTAGTTGTTTTCTGGCATTGTTGTGTTTTTTTGTTACTTTCTTTTGCCACCTTGGGCCAGTTTCCTTTCCCCTTGGCTCCCTTCTAGTCACTTCTATCCACACCTGCTCCATACCAGCTGATTACCCCAGTCTTTGTTCTCTCTCCCATATATACTCTCCCTGTGCAGTTATTCAGTGCTGGTTTCTTGTTGCTTCATTGCTTTGCTCCTCGCGTGTTTCTCCCAGGTATCCCCTGGTTTTTTGTTTTCTTGTTAGTTTCCTTGGATTTGTGCTTCTGTTGCCATCAAGTTCCCATTAAATCAGCAAACTCATCTACAGTATGCGCATCTATGTCTTCTCTGCATTTGGGTCCTCAACCAACTTCAATCAAACTCTGACAAACTCTCCCTAAAGTATTAAAACTGTTACCAACCATGTTCGTAAGTGAAGACAGACAGACTGAAGAGAATATTAGAGGACGGACATCTGTGCATTTTTAATGCATATTAATAATATTAATAAAAAACAGTACTAATAAATTATGTGCACTGAACACAAAGGACATCACTTTGGGTCATGTGCTCAAGCATGATAAGCAGATGTGCATTTATATGGTACCAAAGAGAATAAAGTGGTCGTGTAGATAAGACGCAGCGCTTAGAACACCATTAAAGGCAGACAAGATAATGAAAGCTAAAATTACTCTGTGATAAAGTCAGTCCTGCTCTGAAAGTAGCAGACCGACTGAGGACGGCAGTAACACAAGTATGGTAAAGGACATCTTTAATAGCATCTCCACCATAAAGCACTGACAGAAGAGTGACGGAGGAAAGGGAATCATTCAGAGGCTTGGAAGAAATTGACAAAAGTGTAATGAGAGTGAATGTCCTCCTGGCAGGATGCCCTTTAGCTTCAAAGAGAGGCAGCAGAGAGAAAAGGGAACGTAGACGTCTTCATCTCACTCAGCAAGAAGGAAAACAAGGATATTTTTCTCTGGTGGAGTGTTACCATCCCTCCCTCTGACCTATAGGATATTCAGATTCAAGGTCTGAGTGTAAAAACTAAGTCTGTAAAAAAAGACCTTATTCTCTTAACTCCAGTTCATCATCATACATTCTAATTCTACGCTTGTGGCAATGAACAGTTTCTTGACAACCTTTAACATTAAGACAGAGATATCATGTTAAGGTATTTCATACTTTTAAAGATTTTAGGTTTTGCTTTAGATATAAAACTGCATCTTTTCAAAGTTTCCAATTTGAGATTTTGTGACCTTTTCATTGCTTTCATGTATCTACCTTCCTCCTTTAGTGACCTTTAGATAACAAGTTATTACTAACTGGTTTTGGTCTCAGGTGACATTTTACAACTTATTCAATGATCTTTATAGAAAAACCTTCCATCTTTAACATATCAAAGAGAAAAAGACATTTATTATTAAATAATACCGGGTATTATTAATATATTGGACAGTTCAATGTACTAAACAATTATTCGACTAAGCCCTTCATTCAGACACTATTTGTCCATCATGTTTCCTTTCTTTTGTTTCTTCATATACTGTAAGAAAAAGGTTTGGAACAGTTGTTAGTAAGCAACTCTTTTTTCTTATTTCCTCTAAAGGTTCCTGGTTTTGATGTAAAAAAAAAGTTTTGTTTTTTTGTCTTTTGAGCAACAGAGGATGCTCAGAGGGTTACATGTCAGCAGTAGGTTTATTCTGACAACTAACCCATTTTAGTGAGAAAGAATCTCGAACAGAAGGTCAATTTAAACTAACAGGATTTTTAGAAAAAATAAATATTACAAGAAAAATTATAAAGGGTGAAAATTGTACAAAAAAAAATTGGTCCTCTACTGACAATGCTTAGATTTAAGCCCTTTAAAGTATTGTCGTTTTAACATGGAGTGTTTAAAACGGTTCGTTCTCTTTTATCCGTCAACAAACTTAAAAACAAAATGCACACAGACAATATTGTTTAATCTCCCCCTTCTCTCTACTCAGTGATGAGAGTCTCAACCCCCTAAAACTCAATGCCACTTGTTTTCCAGCCCATCTACTGCCTGTAAAGGCTGCCAACCTCTGTTCGCTGCCAACGCACGCCTCTCAGCTGTTTTCTAACCTTCATTTGGCAAAGAGACAATAGAGAGATTGTTCGTCCCCGCCTCCCTGCCCTCACCAATTTTCTACTCGACACCCGTGCTTCTGAGTTTTTCTCATAGTGGGGATGCACCCAGTTTGAGCCAGTTTTTTTCCCCCTTTGTTTCTCTAGAAGGTGGGAGGTGCACACACGCTCACTAAAAATATATAAATATACAGGAGGTTCATGTGTTTCTGAGCAATATAAAAATGGCAGAAAACCTTATTATTGACAGCATGACTGATTGCTGATAACTGTCTCTCTGTATTGAAAGCTCACACTGCCCATCAATGAGTAAGCATCCCTTTGATGAAGGCATCCCGGTGCCTTTTGGTATGAACTTCTCACTCAGGGGGGTTAATTGGTGGCAGCCTCTCGGTCTTCCATCTGACAGTGCCGGGTGTTGGCGTGCTGCCCCGCTGACGTCCATCAGGGAAAGGAAGAACAGGGAGGCACGTTCTAACTGCAGTCTCCCTGTTTACCTCGTGGACTGCAGACTTTCAGGACTGCTCTTTCTCCTTGAGGACATAAACACTCAGTGAGCTGCTGAGGGAGGGCTATAAATATACAGTGGGCTACATGCTGAGCAAAGCTGTACAGGTTACATCTTGCTTGTGCAAGCAGGTTCAGTTAGAGCACGATGGTCACAAACAGTTTGGTTTTAGAGATTACTCACATAAATAAGAACCTCTACTATCTATTGGAAAAAGTTTTTTTTTTTTAAATGTCCGCATGGAAAACAATCATCCCATTAGTGAATGTCCTACTTGTGTTTTCTTTCTTCCCTGGAAAAAGTTTCATAGCACAAATTATGCTACTACGATTCAAGATTAATGTGCATGAAAAAACCTTTACATTTCTGTCAAAACATGAAGGGAGCAGTAATACCGAAGTTAACATGTAGATAAATCCCTCCATGTGACTTTATATCTTCCATCCATCCATTTTCTTACACGCTTAATCCCAAGCGGGGTCACGAGGCGTGCTGGTGCCTATCTCCAGCTGTCTATGGGCGAGAGACGGGGTCCACCCTGGACAGGACGCCAGTCCATTGCAGGGCAACACAGAGAAAAACAACCATTCACACACACACTCACACCTACTGTAAGGAGAATTTAGAGAAGCCAGTTAACCTAACAGTCATGTTTTTGCACTGTTGGAGGAAGCTAGAGTACCCGGAGAGAACCCACGCATGCTCAGGGAGAACATGCAAACTTCATGCAGAAAGACCCCAGGCCGAGAATCTAACCCAGAACCTTCTTACTCCTTTTTTTCTTCTATTAAACATTAAAAAACAAAGAAAAGCTAGTAGTTCAAAGAGTTTTCAATTTTGATGGTTCCACAATAATATCCACTTATAATGTGTAAAATCCCAAACA